CTGGTCAATTAAACAGTGGTCTGGTCAATTAAACAGTGGTCTGGTCAATTAAACAGTGGTCTAGTCAATTAAACGGTGGCCTGGTCAATTAAACAGTGGTCTAGTCAATTAAACAGTGGTCTGGTCAATTAAACGGTGGTCTGGTCAATTAAACAGTGGTCTAGTCAATTAAACGGTGGCCTGGTCAATTAAACAGTAGTCTAGTCAATTAAACAGTGGTCTGGTCAATTAAACAGTGGTCTAGTCAATTAAACGGTGGCCTGGTCAATTAAACAGTAGTCTAGTCAATTAAACAGTGGTCTGGTCAATTAAACAGTGGTCTAGTCAATTAAACAGTGGTGTAGTCAATTAAACGGTGGCCTGGTCAATTAAACAGTGGTCTGGTTAATCAAACAATTGTCTGGTTAATTAAACGGTGGCCTGGTCAATTAAACGGTGGCCTGGTCAATTAAACAGTGGTCTGGTCAATTAAACAGTAGTCTAGTCAATTAAACAGTGGTCTAGTCAATTAAACGGTGGCCTGGTCAATTAAACAGTAGTCTAGTCAATTAAACAGTGGTCTGGTCAATTAAACAGTGGTCTAGTCAATTAAACGGTGGCCTGGTCAATTAAACAGTGGTCTGGTCAATTAAACAGTGGTCTGGTCAATTAAACGGTGGCCTGGTCAATTAAACAGTGGTCTGGTCAATTAAACAGTGGTCTGGTCAATTAAACAGTGGTCTGGTCAATTAAACGGTGGTCTGGTCAATTAAACAGTGGTCTAGTCAATTAAACGGTGGCCTGGTCAATTAAACAGTGGTCTAGTCAATTAAACAGTGGTCTGGTCAATTAAACAGTGGTCTAGTCAATTAAACAGTGGTCTGGTCAATTAAACAGTAGTCTAGTCAATTAAACAGTGGTCTGGTCAATTAAACAGTGGTCTAGTCAATTAAACAGTGGTCTAGTCAATTAAACGGTGGCCTGGTCAATTAAACAGTAGTCTAGTCAATTAAACAGTGGTCTGGTCAATTAAACAGTGGTCTAGTCAATTAAACGGTGGCCTGGTCAATTAAACAGTGGTCTGGTCAATTAAACGGTGGTCTGGTCAATTAAACAGTGGTCTGGTTAATCAAACAATTGTCTGGTTAATTAAACGGTGGCCTGGTCAATTAAACGGTGGCCTGGTCAATTAAACAGTGGTCTGGTCAATTAAACGGTGGCCTGGTCAATTAAACAGTAGTCTAGTCAATTAAACAGTGGTCTAGTCAATTAAACGGTGGCCTGGTCAATTAAACAGTGGTCTGGTTAATCAAACAATTGTCTGGTTAATTAAACGGTGGCCTGGTCAATTAAACGGTGGCCTGGTCAATTAAACAGTGGTCTGGTCAATTAAACAGTAGTCTAGTCAATTAAACAGTGGTCTAGTCAATTAAACGGTGGCCTGGTCAATTAAACAGTAGTCTAGTCAATTAAACAGTGGTCTGGTCAATTAAACAGTGGTCTAGTCAATTAAACGGTGGCCTGGTCAATTAAACAGTAGTCTAGTCAATTAAACAGTGGTCTAGTCAATTAAACGGTGGCCTGGTCAATTAAACAGTGGTCTGGTCAATTAAACAGTGGTCTAGTCAATTAAACGGTGGCCTGGTCAATTAAACAGTGGTCTGGTCAATTAAACAGTGGTCTAGTCAATTAAACGGTGGCCTGGTCAATTAAACAGTAGTCTAGTCAATTAAACAGTGGTCTGGTCAATTAAACAGTGGTCTAGTCAATTAAACGGTGGCCTGGTCAATTAAACAGTGGTCTGGTCAATTAAACGGTGGTCTGGTCAATTAAACAGTGGTCTGGTTAATCAAACAATTGTCTGGTTAATTAACTATATGTAATTAAATAATTGACCCGAATGGTAGAATCCTGGTCGATTAAAGGTAGCCTTGTTAATTAAACGGTAGTCTGGTCAATTAACTATATGTAATTAATTAATTGACCCGAATGGTAGAATCCTGGTAGATAAAAGCATAGTCTGGTCGATTAAAGGTAGGCTGGTCAATGGAACGGTTGTCTGGTTAATTAAAAGGCGATAAGCTTAAACTAAATGCGGTCTGCTTAATTATTTATACTCTAATTAATTAATTGACCCAAATGATTGAATCCTGGTAGATAAAAGCATGGTCAGATTAAATAAAAGGCGGGTCTGGTATATTAAATTACCCAACTGGGGAATCCTGGTGAATAAAAGTGGGTCATGTTAACTAAATGACCCCAATTATTTTGATACCAGTTAATAAAAGCAAGCGATTAACTAATTGACCCAAATTGCTTTAATACCAGTTAATAATAAACCGATTAACTAATTGACCCAAATTGTTTTGATGCTAGTCAAAAAGTTGGCTGCGTTAATTAAATGACCCAAATTGTATTTATCCTAGTCGAAATATGGGTTAGGTTAACTAAATGACTCAAATACTATAATTACCAGTCCATTGAGAGCAAATTCTGGTAAGCAAATGATCGATCTAGGTGAACATTGTGTATGTCTGGTCAATAAACAATGCATCCTGGTAAATGGGCGATTCATACGATGCATAAATGTTGCATTTAATTAATTAATTCATGAATCCTGATATAAAAAATATATTCGGTCGATAAAGGATTGATCCTGGTAAACAATGTATATTTCTGGTCAATAAACAACGCATCCTGGTCAATAATCGATCCATCCGATGTATAAATGATGAATTTAATTAATTAATTAATTAATCCTGGTATAAAAAATAATATTCGGTCAGTAAATGATCGATCCTGGTGAACAATATATATGCCTGGTTAATAAACAATGCATCCTGGTCAATAACCAATCCATCCGATGTATAAATAATGAATTTAATTAATTAACTTATGAATCCTGGTATAAAAAATAAATCCGGTCAATAAATGATCGATCCAGGTAAATAAATAATGAGTTCTGGTAAATAAATAATGCATCCGGTCAATAACCGATCCATCCGATGTATAAAGAAATGTTTTGGGTCGATAAATGATCAATCCTGGTAAATAAATAATAAATTCCTGGTAAACAATTGACTCCATGCAGCAATCCTGGTAAACATAAACAAACCGTCGATCTTTGTAAACAAAAGGGCGATCATTCCATGCAAAAGGGCGATCATAGTAGACAATATTGAATTATGGTAAATAAAAGGGTAAACATAGTAAAATAAAGGGGTGGTAAATGTAAAAAAATGAGCCCAAAGTGCTACCCGGATAAAAAACGAGCCACAATGCATGGCACCCGTGTCATAGTTGGCCATTGTTGTCAACTGGTTACCATATATGGAACAAACCTAATTATGCTTTTAATTGTTATGCATATAATTCAAGCCCAGAAAAAAAAGGTTTAAAAGTGTAATTTAATGTTTTTAACCTTTGGCGGAATTTGTAACGACCCCCCTATTATATGTATGAGAGAAGATGATTGAAATCTCAATAACAATTAATTTTGGAATTGTTTCAAAAATCTTTTTTCAGAGAGTTCTATGCGTGGGGTATTCTTCCCGAAGTTTACCTGGTGCCTCTTTTGCTCGGATTAGTAAAAGTTTTTTTTACCAGAAACTTTTGCTGGTCTCCCGACGCATATTTCGAACCATATACTTTTGCTTCGGCGAATTTTTGGGAACATCTGTTGGGGGGTAGTCTTTGTGCTGCTAATAATCTACAGATCCAATTTATTGGATTTGGACCAGGGAAATATTGTGTATTACTGGCCTTTGGCTATAAATATATATGTACGATGATGTCGGGTGAAAGTGTTCGAAGGAAATCAGATTTTTTATTTGATGGCCTGAAGATTATAACATCCATCTACCTGTTGTCTGGTAAAAGTTTACTTTTACCTGATTCCAGTAGAAAAACAGTGGAACTGGCAATATGGATATTATTTACGGAGGTTTTGGCTTCGAAAGAAGCTAGAGCTGAAAGAAATAATTTTACAACATTGGAAACAACATATTCTGGTGGGCTGCTTTGGGTATTAATGCTGGTCATTTTTGACCGGCTCTATGTTCATTGTGGTCTTTTCGGCTAGCTAATTTATTAGCTGGCTGAACCAACATTTGTAGTTACCTGGTTGATCCTGCCAGTAGTCATATGCTTGTCTCAAAGATTAAGCCATGCATGTCTAAGTATAAACAAATTCTATACTGTGAAACTGCGAATGGCTCATTAAATCAGTTATGATCTACATGACAATTCATTACTACTTGGATAACCGTGGTAATTCTAGAGCTAATACATGCAACAAAAGCCTCGACTTCGGAAGGGGTGCACTTATTAGGTAAAAGCCAACCTGGTGTTAAAGCCAGTTTTTTGGTGATTCATAATAATTCAATGCTGATCGCATGGCCTTGTGCTGGCGACGGTTCATTCGATTTTCTGCCCTATCAGGTTAAGATTGTAAGATAGAGGCTTACATTGCCTACCACGGGTAACGGGGAATTAGGGTTCGATTCCGGAGAGGGAGCCTGAGAAACGGCTACCACATCCAAGGAAGGCAGCAGGCGCGCAAATTACCCAATCCCAATTCGGG